CCTTATTTGAGACCTGTCTTTTTAGATCATAGTTTTCCCTTAAAATTTTTTTTTTTAAATAAAGGCCAACTCCGATATCTGATTTAAACAAACCAGGCTGGGCTTCTCAGCCACTCTGGTTTTTACCACATAAAGGATAAATGATGCTTTATTGTTTGAAATTGTACTTAGCTGTCCTTTTTTTTTTTGAAACAGGGTCTCACTCTGTTGCCTGGGCTAGAGTGCCGTGGTGTCAGCCTTGCTCACAGCAACCTCAAACTCCTGGGCTCAAGGGATCCTCCTGCCTCAGCCTCCCAGGTAGCTGGGACTACAGGCACGCGCCACCACACCCAGCTCATTTTTCTATTTTTTGTAGAGATGGGGTCTCACTCTTGCTCAAACTCCTGACCTCAAGCCATCCTCCTGTCTTGCCCTCCCGAAGTGTTAAGATTACCCAGCCTACTTAGCTGTCTTTAATAGCTAAATTTACCTACCTAGACTTGCCTTGTTTAATTGCTCTTAGCTTTATTGCACTTTGCAGATGTTGCTTTTCTAACAAATTGGAGCTTTATGGCAACCCTGAGTCAAGCAGGTCTATTGGCACCATTTTTTTCAACAGCGTGTGCTCACTTTGTGTCTCTGTGTCACATTTCGGTAGTTCTTGTAATCTGTCAAACTTTTTTTATTACTGTATCTGTTATGCTGCTCTGTGATCAGTGAGCTTTGATGTTACTATTGTAATTGTTTTGGGGCACCATGAAGCGTGTCCATATAAGACGGCACACTTAATAAATAAATGTGTATTCTGACTGCTTCACTGACTGGCTATTCTCCCATCTCTCTCCCTCTCCTTGCGCCTCCCTATTCCCTGAGACACAACGATATTGAAATTGGCCCAATCGATAACTCTATAATGGTCCCTAAGTGTTCAAGTGAAAGGAAGAGTTGTGTGTCTCACACTTTAAATCAAAAGCTAGAAATGATTAAGCTTGGTGAGGAAGGCATGTTGACAGCCAAGATAGGCTGGAAACTTTAGGCCTCTTGTGCTGAACAGTTGTGAATGCGAAGGAAAAGTTCTTGAAGGAAATTAAGAGTGCTACGCCAGTGAACACATGAATGAGAAGAAAGGAAACGGCCGTTGCTGAGATGGAGAAAGTTTGAGTGTTCTGGATAGAAGATCAAACCAGCCACAACCTTCCCTAAGTCAAAGCCTAATCCAGAGCAGGGCCCTAACTCTCTTCAATTCTGCGAAGGCTGAGAAGTAAGGAGGCTGCAGAAGAGAAGCTGGAAGCTAGCGTGGGTTGGTTCGTGAGGTTTAAAGAAAGAAGCCGTCTCCATACACAAAAGTGCAAGGTGAAGGAGCAAGTGCTGATGGAGATTCTACAGCAAAGTATGCAGAAGATCCGGCCAAGACAATTGAAGGTGGCCACACCAAACAACAGATCTTCAGTGTAGATGAAAAAGCCTTCTGTTGGAAGAAGATGCCATCTAGGACTTTCATAGCTGGAGAGGAGAAGTCAATGCCTGGCTTCAAATCTACAAAGGACAGGCTGACTTTCTTGTCAAGGGGATAACGCAGCTGGTGACTTGACTTCTTTTCTTCCCTCCCCTCCCCTCCCCTTCACTTCCCTTCTTTCTTTCTTCCATCCTTCCTTTCTTTCTTCCTTTCCTTCCTTCCTTCCTTCCCTTCCTTCCTTCCTTCCTTCTTTCCTTCCTTTCTTTCTTTTTTCCTTCCTTCTTTCTTTCCTTCCTTTCCTTCCTTCCTTCCTTCCTTCCTCCCTTCCTTTCTTTTTTTCTTTCTTCTTTCTTTCTCTTCTTTCCAGAAAGAGAGGAGGTAAAGCATCTAGCCTAGTGCTAATTCCACAGTGGGTCCATGTGAGCTCACCCTTTTCACGTCAAAACCTCCGACGAATGGTTTTATCCCTTGCTGAAGCACATTCCCCATCGTATACCTTTGTGTGCCTTTCTTACAGTAATTATCTTATTTACTTCTATACATTGTCATATATATGTGTTCATTGTTCTTTCCATGTTCAACTAAGGATTCCTTGAGACCGGGACTATTTATTCAACTTCCAACCCTTTGTGGCTTATAGTCTAACTAAAGTGGATTCTTCATTGCTATTTATCATATTAATCAGTTGTGTTTCTTTTAAATGACAAATATTAAAAATACATTTTAATAGCAAAATAGTACATACACAGCAAAATCATGTTCCTTTTAATAAACAAAACCAAAGAATATAAATAAACATACGTT